CGGCCATCCCTATATAGGATCCGAACCTGCGGCAGGAGCGCTGCTGTGCTCCCAGTGCTGCACTCTCCTGAGTGTGCCACGGGCTCGGCCCCAAAATGATCAACTCTAATGTTACTCTTTTATCTCCTTGAGGGTAAAGTTATATGGAATGAACATGCTTATCTTCCAGAACCAACTTTAAGATAAAAACTCATTCTCATGGGCATGACTAACAGCAAAATACCTTTGAACAGCTTGAATATTCAGAGATTAAAATATTCCTAAGAGAACAACCTTAGTCCATTCATTAACTCAGAGTTCTGTTAATTCTACCAGAGACAGTTACATGTTTTTCCCAACATAACATATGGTAATAATACATAATATATGTCATATAACCTCAATATTTTGTTTAAATCTTTAAAGCTTTTAATGGATATGAGTCAAGCAGTATATTATAGTATATCTTCACATCATCATAATCACCAACACCATCATTAGCTTCCACGTATTGAGTACCTGTGACAAGCCAGGTTCTAGAAGACTCTTGTGTAATTGATACTTGTCAGAATAAATGAACAGGTTGAAGGTCATTATAGTCATCGTACATACAAGAAAACCAAGATTTGAAGAGGTTATTTAATTGCCCAAAGTCATTATGCTAGTAAGTAATAGAGGCAGGATCCTAACTCAGAGATCCTGAAATCAAAGTAAATGATCTTCCCACTACCAAATAGTCCACAACTCAGTTAAGATCTTAATCTGCCCAGCAATCCCTCTGTACATCCCCTAGTTAAATGGTCTTCAAATTCCAGGTCATGACCTATTAATTGATCAAGAAATTAATTTACTGGCTCTTGATCAGCAAATTTTAAGAATAGGATAGAACAGAAAAAATAGAATAGGCTAGAAAAGAAAATATAACTATACTAAGCATACTAAAGATAACTGTCTAATACAATTTTTGTTTCAGTTATATATATATATATATATGCATGTGTGCATGAGTTGCAATGTAATGTGTTTTTGGTATTGTTTTTTTGGTTGGTTGGTTTTTATTGTAGGACTTGGTCAAAAACAGTTTGAAAAAGTACAAGTCAGCTAGTACTTTATTTATTATAACATTATTCCAAAATGTCATTTTCCCCCCAAGGCCCTGGCATTTCCACCTCTTTCTTCCTTTTCTCTTCTTCCTTCCTTCTTCCCTTCCCTTCTCTTTCTTCAATTCCTTTTTTTACTCACTCATCTCAAAATCAACTTTTTGAGAATCTACCAGGTGCATTCGCACAGGAGAAAATCGCGTGCTTTCACAGAGTTTGTAGTCTACTTTAAAAAGAAAATGAAACACCCTAATTTTCCTATTTCTTTTCATGAAATTTCTTCTTACCCATTCTGCTAGGAAAGGAGTACCTCTTCCTCATAAGATGTAATCCTCTACCTATGCTCCGAAGCTGACACCTCACCTACTGAACTGTTATGATCTACAATTATTCTAATACCAATTTAATTAAAGGTATTCTAAGTACCCACCAAGAAAACAGTTACATAAATTATCATGGATCCACAGAATATTATACAAGTCCTTTAAAATATGGGTACATTTACTGTACTCTTGTGGAAAGGTAGTCAAGAAAGACTAATTGAAAAAGGCAAGTGGCAGAAAAGTATGTAGAGTAACATCTCTTTTAGGTAACTACACACACACACACACACACACACACACACACACACACACTATTTTTAGACATAGAAACTTCTTCCTGGAAAAAATTGGGGAATTTTAAATTTTTCTTCATACTTTTATGTTGAGTGACTTTTCTGCCATGAATATATATTACTTTTATAATTTTAAAAGCTTGTTTAAAATACTCAATTTTACCCCCAACCTCTCCTCTCCAGAGGAAAACAATAACAACAAAAATAGAACCAGAGCAAAATGATATCCTGTAACTGAAATCACTTAAAGTGCAATCTGAAAGTTTTGTTAAGTGGAAAGTTTGTTTTTTAAATGTGCCTACAAAGCAGAATGCACAGTCACACAAAACTTTGTGGAGAAAGAGTGGCAGAAGAGTAGGGTGAGAAATGGTTTCCTTTACATGCCCCTCTCTGTTCACTTGCTGGCTCTTTAGATCAGCCTTGTCCAATTACACAGTTGAGCACATATGCAAGTTTAAATTTTCTAGTAGCAACTTTTTAAAAAGAAAAACAGGTAAAATTAATTTTAATAATTTATTTCACCCAATATATCCAAAATATTATTTCAACGTGTAACCAATATAAAAAAACTATTAATTACTGAGTTCAATGTAAAAAGTTCTATTCTTGTTTTGCATACTAATTCTTCCAAATCTGATGTGTATCTTAAACCTACAGCACATACCAATTCGAACTATGCATTTCAAGCCCTCAAGAGCCACCTGTAGCTAGTGGTTACAGTATACAAGAGTGCAGCCCAAGATGGACCTCACTGTACGTGAACGACAGTAAACTATTTCAAGTTGATATTGAATCACTTGGAGTTGGCTAAAGCTTCCAAAAGTGGGAAAGTTTAAGGAACTCCACCCTTCAACCCCTGTAACGAAAAGAGAGGGGAATCTACTTTATAAAGTAACCATGAATTATATACGGAAACAAAGAAGGAGGGAGGGACACAGAGGATCTTCCGGGTGGATCTTCAAGTTATAACGAAGCAACCAAAATCTCCAGAATTGAAGCGACCCTGGAGCTCCCTTCAGACTCGCGCAGCCACCCCCTCGGTCCGCGGTTTTTCCCTTTCCTGGGAGCCTGGCCCTGTCGGAAAGTGACCCGGCACCCGCAGCTCTGCCTCGCCCCCGGCAACACGAATCCGGGACTTGCAGGGCCCCGGCTCACCCACCAGAAGCGAAATCCTCGATTTGGTTGGAAGACAGCGCCCATACCTCTAAACAAAGCGTAACCACGGCAACAGCCAATCGCAAAGACGATAGACAGGCCTTGCCTTACAGGTGCCCCAGAAGGACAAATATCCTACATTCTAAATTGGAACGAACGCTACATCTCAGGAGCTGGAGAAAGGAGCTTAATTTTTTTTTTCCAGGTAGATATTAATATTTAAATAAGTCTGGAAAATATTTAATGATGAAATGACATTTTGTTAGAATTATCCAAGTAGCGGTGACCTGACTTTTGAATTGTTTCTAAACTGTCTATGTTTATACTTGCATCTAGTGAATGTTGAGTTGCCCAGTGTAAGTTATTATTCCAAAAAACCTTAATCCTGAATAGTGCTTTGTGGAAGTATGGAAGAGAAGCCAATAAGTTGTTTGCCTTCCACAACAAAAGTTTCTTTAAGAAAATAAATAAATAAATAAATAAATAAATCGATTATCAATCAATGCTCATCAAAAACCAATAACTGAAGAGGTTGTGGGTGAGAAATTTGAAAAATTCTTTTCTGGAATTCTTTTACCGTGAAAATATTGACAGACACGCACTATTTCAATATGAAATCTGAATTCTAAGTATATGTCATGCTACTTAATTTTAACTTAAAAATCCATCAAAGTTTCTTTTATGGCATGAATATACAGTGTACAAAACGTGAAATTTTATTTTTAGTTAATAATAAATATTTATGATTTTAATCTTTTTTTAAAAGTTTGCAAACAAGGCATTAAATTTCAAGAGGAAGTGGTTAAACATAACTGGAAAAGGTATTTGCAACAATAAGCTAAGAGCAAACATTTCACTGACCCTTTGAAAGAAAATAGGCTATATTTCCTGGTAACAATAAACTTGAATTGTGTCAACACAAGAACTACTAATATAGTGTGAGAAATTAGTAAACTTTTGATATTAAAAACAAACATATTAGTACCTTTTTCAAGAAACATAATTATTTTTTAAAAATAAACTATACCTGATTTCAGATCTGATTAAATTTAGGGTATTTTCATTGTCAAAGTCCATGTTCAAATGCCATTTTTTCTTTTTTTTTTTAAATTTAATTTTATTGCTAATTCATACACTATTCAAATTCTTCATTTAAAATGCTT